ATTATTATGTAAAGTTAAAATATGTTGGAATTGACAAGTTTTGAGTTTTCGGAGTCATGTAAAGTAGACATAGGTTGTTTATCCAATGGTTTTAGATTTTGCAATCATTCAAAATTGTGTATTATGTTTTTATACCGTTTTAGTGTTGTTTATATCTTGTTTATCTTATGTATAACTATACATGTAATATTAGAGAAATGTTAGACCATGTTTATCTTATGTATAACTATACGGGTAATATTAGAGAAATGTTAGACCATGTTTATCTTATGTATAACTACGGGTAATATTAGAGAAATGTTAGACCATGTTTATCTAATGTATATATACAATATATCTAAACATATCTTTTCGTGGTTATGAGGAAGTATATGTACAATTATACTTAACATAAACGGTAGATAAACAAAATATTGTCACACACAAGCCATTGATGAATATATTGATTTTATTTGCCAAAGATTTGCTTTCTCATACCAAACATCAAATCACTGCCAAAACTCAGATAATCGGAACTGAAATCCCCACCGTCACAGTTACGTTGTCGTAAGCAGAGCCCATCTTGCCACTGCCAAAGCACACCCCATCTAAAACACCGGCCTTGGCGTACCTCCATACACCAAACTAAAGAAAGTACCATCGCCCATCTCGCAACCGCCAAAGCACACCCCATCTAAAACACCGGCCTTGGCGTACCTCCATACGCGAAACTAAAGGAAGTACCATCGACAACAATAATAGGCCTACAATGGTTCCACCCTTTAATTGAAGCATTAAGACACATGGACACTTTTATCTTTGAAAGTTTCGCCGACCGCAATATCAATATTCATGTATCCATCGACCAAACCTCCAAGTTTCTGGAGTATTTATTTCTCGTTTATCTTTCGTATATTTCACTGTTTTGGAGTGTTCTGGAGTGTTTATTTCCAGTTTATCTTCCGTATACTTCACTATTTCCAACATAGTCAGCAGCTGGTTCGGTGATTCCTCTGTAATATCATCGTCTTCCGAATCTTTTCGAGAACACATATTCCTGAAAATAAACGATTTATCACCCGAGGCCACATAATAAACTATCAAAATTAAAGAACAAAAAACCACTATAGTAATATAACACCACATAAAAAACACCAACACGAAATTACCTTCTCGAGTTTTTTTATCAACAAAGATTTCACGAAGAACAATATTTGAATCATAGGAGATTTCACGAATAACGATTTTTTGCTTTTCAATCCCATTCAAAGCCTTTTTCTTTTGTTCAACTGGATCAATTTTTTTTTCCCCAATTCAAGGAGATCTCGACAGAAGCGTGCTCTGTAAATCGGTCGCCAATTATAAAACTATGTCTCATAATTTTGGAATTATAATTTGGAAAATTTGGGGATAATAGCGTCGGTTACGGAGGAGTGGACGACTTCGAGATTCTTGGGCTGAATATGATGAACTGTATTTTTGATATTATTTGCATCTGAAAATCTTTATATGATAAAACTTCTTTCATATGGTAAATATGAAATTAAGATGACTAAGAGAGACATATGCGTAAATTTCCCAATAGAATAAGCTTTCTCTATAGCTCATCAATGTTGCTGAGAGGTTTATAAAAGAAAAAAAGAAGCATACCGAAAAAGGGGGTTTGATGCATATTGTACTGAATTAGCATTTCAAATTTGCCTAAAGACTTGAAGTTGAGATTGTATTTCGTTTGGGTCACGACACTTGGTAAAGCAATTAATTCTTTTGAGACTAATTCCTCTCAAGCCCATAAGTTCATGTTATGTGCTCAAAAGTCCAAGTCAAAGAAGTTTGTGACTTATTCACTTCAAGACACGTCACCCGTGAACAAGTCTCGAGGGGGCATTTGTAGGCAATTAAAATTTTGAGCCAATAAAATGGCGACAAGTGTCAAATTCCATGTTAAAGTCAATTTAATAATTTTCTATTTATTTGGGAAATTAATCAAATTTTAATTCCTAAATTAAATAGTTAATAAATAATGCCACATTATATCTTGAAGGCCAATTAAAGAATGCCACATGTCATTTTCTTGGAGAGTAAAATAAATAATTATTTCTTTTAATAATTATTAAAGAGATAAATAAGTGAAAATTCATGGACCAATAAAATTGATGTCTTCTTTTCCAAGACTCTCTCTCCTAATTATCTCTTTAAATAATTATTAAGAGATAAATATTGGAAATTATGGACCAATCAAATTGAAGTTTTCTTTTCCAAGACTCTCTCTCCCAACACCTATAAATAGGGGCTCTCCTTAAGGTGAAAAATCACAATTCATATTCAAGTTTTCAAGTTCAAGAGCTCTAGAGAATTCTCTCAGCGAGATTCAAGTGTTATTGAAGATTTAATGGCGTTCTTGAAGATCCGAAAGAAGATTCAAGTGCGTTCAAGCCCAAGACCGACGTTCAATCCGGAAACAAGCTGTCAAAGCCTCCGAATTGCGTTATTAAATTCAAAGTGTTCTTGAAGATTCAAAGGCGTTCTTGAAGATCCGAAGGAAGATTCAAGCGCGTTCAAGTCCAAAACTAATGTTCAATCCGGAAACAAGCTATCAAGCCTCCGAATTACATTATTAAAGTCAAGACCGGCGTAGAGAAGTTCGGATCAACTTTGCGACGAAGACCAAGGACTCGTGTTCTTCACGTTCTTGGGAAATCACGGCGTTCGATTCGAGATCAAGCTGTCAAGCCCTCGAAGAAACACTATTTAAATCCATATTCAAGACCGACGGAGATCAAATTGAAGATTCATCTCCAAAAATCTCATATTCATTTGAAGATTGTTCTTGAAGAAATTAATCAGAGGAATAATAGAGATTTGTAATCCACTATATTTTATTTGATCCGTGGAAAATCAATTTGTACGAAGTTCTCGTTTTTATTAATTCAAGAATACGAAATTTTGCGTTACAATACCGGTCAAATTGCACACAAAATCCCAACGGTAGTTTCCACTCGAAAGTCGAAATTATAAGATAAGGTCGAAAATGTATCAATTAAGCCCAAATATCCAACACATAGTCCATATTACATAACAAAATTACCACATATTTTTGACTTATCACCTAGTCTAGCCACCGTCAAGGACTACATGGTGCACAGTGCTTTTATCCATCTTGGCTTCTCTCAAACACTTCTCAATGGGCCTCATAGTCCATACACTTACTAAAGAGATCCATGTTGAGCTCCTTAAACCGGGCTCGGGTAATGGTTGAGTAAAAGTCAACACCTTCGTAGCGAGACATCAAAAGTGCCGCCTCCAAGATCGAAAATCAAGAAATTCTTTTAGCCAACGTTCGTTGCTTTCTTGTCGAGACCGTAGGCAATGGCTGCAGCCGTTGGCTAGTTGATGATTCGCATGACGTTGAGACCGACAACGACTCCAACATTCTTGACAGATGAGCCCAAGTAGGCCTCGACAATTTCACGCATCTTCATGAGGAAATCTCCTCTACAGCAAATTGTTTGTCCTCGCCCTTGTAGATAACAACTATCATGGGCTTGTCACCGAGACCATAGTTGACCTTGAATGGCCAGAGTTTCATGTCGCCCAGCACGGACGCATCTGTGAAGCGTCTGCCGATGATGAACCTCTCGTCCGTGAACCCGACATACGAAGGCGTGGTCCTGTTGCCCTGGTCAATGGCGATGATCTCGTGCTGCCACACGAGTACATTCCCAAATCAATTCCAATAGCGGGACCTTTACATTTGCTGGCCATTGCTTTTAAATCGTACATCTAAATCTTCACAGCTGAGAGAGTGATTTTTATAAACAAATACACCCTAAATTTCACCTCCTAACTTCTTGCTACCTCTGAAAATATGATTAAATTTCAAATATAAAAATGTCACAAAATGTCACTCAAAATCCCATATGAATACACCTCCTAATTTTGCAATAAAAAAAAATCCCCAAATGACCATTTTTACCACATTTGAGACTAAATTTGCAATAAGATCAAATATGTGGGACTAAATTTGTAATTTTCTCAATGTTCAACAATCCACAAATTCCTCTAACCAAAATCACAATGTGCACCAGAAGAAAAAAAAAATAAAAATAAAAATAAAAATTAAAGCATTTGCCAATTACAAAATCCTCACTTTCATTTAAAACATCTAAAATCACGAAGATCCCAAACAACACTTCTCGTAAACCTCCTCCAATTCTGGGGCATCACTACTGAATCTCCACACATAAACACTCAGAAACTTCTTTTCTGTCATCTGCAACACAGTAACAAAACTTGGCTCCTTCTCCATCAACCCCCGGGACTTCACCATCTCCGTCACTCTAAGCCTCGGCATCATTCTCTTCTCCACACTATACGTCAAAAGGGAAGGTGACCTCACCAGAATCGACCTGTCAAACCCGACAGTCCTCATGAAGAACTCGACCCCACGCCTCAGCTTTCCCCCAGACGTCTTGAAAAGAATAGGCAACTTCAAGAACATCGAATCACACTCGTCCCTCGTGAAGCCAAGCTCCCGAAACAACTCAAACTTTCTCCCAAGAGTCTTGGGATTATTGCTGTAGAGGGTTAGGACACCGTAGATCAGCATCTTCGAGCCCGTCTTGAAGCCCATCTCGAAAGCCCGTGAGACAAGGCCTTTCAGGTCATCCCCCGGCAAGGAGAACATCCTAGGCTCGTTTTTCAGAAGCATGATCAGTTGAGATCTCAAGACCCCACAGCTCCTCAAGTAGGCCATATTGGATTCCAGGCTCGACCCGTTCATGACAATAAAGCCGCACCTCGAGAGTATGCGGAGAACGAGAAGGTTAGTTTCGTCCTTCTTCAAGCTCAGGTAGAGCTCGAGGACTTTCTTGATAGCTTCGATGCTCGGTTTTAGCCTTCTGTCCAGGCTGCCGGTCAGGAGGCCAGGGTTCTTGGAGATGAGAACGGACAGGTGGGGCCCGTGCAAGCCCAGTTCTTGATAGAAGTCGATTTTGGGCTTGAGATTCTTATCAACATCCAAGAATAGGAGCATGGGCTGGCGTTTGATTGCTTTCTGCAGATGGGCAGTGGAGAGGCCGAGGGATTTCAAGTAGAGGACGACTGAGTCGGGTTTTTGTGTGGAGAGTCTTGGTGAGACCCGGCTGTATATTGCGGCCGCTTCGTGTGGGGTGTAATTTAGAAATTCCGTGAGGTAATTGGTCAGAAGGCTGTTATTGGAGCTCGAGTATGGGGTGGTTGAGGTGGTACTGAAGCCCCTGTTTCGGGAGGATTTGAGAAAATTGGTGATGGTGGAAAGAAGGGAACCCAAAGGATACAAATGAGGGTCCTTCACAAGGAAGATGTGGGCCGACTTCACTTTTGCCATCACGTTTTTAACTCAAAAGGACGGGGTATGCTCTTTTAATACTTGACAGAATCACGGGTTAGTTTGATTATCCTGCAACACAGCAAAAGGCAGCAGAAAAATTTGTTTGTCAAAGACAATCAAAGCAAGTGATCACATGCTGTAGAGCCTGATTTAACAAATTCAAGAAATCAATCATACGTCTCTATAAGCTCGTGCTCATACATACAGAGTTTAGCTATTCCACAATTTCAGCTGGAAAAGAAAGAGAGCTGCTTCAGGAGTGAAAAGTAAGATAAGACTCCAATCAACTAATACACTCAAACAAACCATATATCAAACACCTTGTGGGCACTCTCATAATAAACCTGTTATGAGCTGTAATCGCACTCCTAGAGTGGCTGTGATTAATAAAATTGCGGTCACTATCCCAAAACACATGAGATGCATAAACACTTCAAATTCTCATATTTCGAATTAAAAAAAAAAAAAGCTCCCTGCCAGTTTAAAGAAGCACGCACCAGATTTCCATTCAACAGAGTGTATAAACATTAGCAAGCATTGTAGAGCTACGGAATGGAGGTCAAACGGTAGGAGAACGAAGAAGGTCGTTTTAAGACTCTTGAGTGCAGCATCGGCCACGACAAGCCAAGTCAAGCTAGGGTAAAATTTGAACTGTCTAGATCTAAAAATAATTGAAATCTTGTGTGACATTTAAATTTTATTAGAAGACTTTTTAAGATTTGTATATTTTCTTTAAATTTTAAAAATCTTTAAGTTTAGAGATTATTTATTTTTCGCATGTTTTTTTAGTCGACCATTATACTTGAATCCGTTAAGGTTTGCCTGTAAATTTATCAATATACTAGTAGGCTTGTAAATTTCAATTTTTTTTTTATTCGATTCGATATTCATATTTCGATATTCGTGATTCGAATTCGAATACGAATAATGTTTTATATTCGAAAGTTAAACGAATCTGAATTCGAATTTGTAGATATTCGATTCGAAATTCGAATATTCGATTCGTTAACAATAATTATATAAAATTAATAAATTATATATAGTATACGTTTTGTTTATAATACATACATATATATATATATATTGAAACACCCCGCTATTTTAATACTATCAGTATGGTTCGGAGTGCTACCGTGAAAATCTGACATAAACCGTTAAAATTTTAAACTGAAAATAAAACGGTTATAATCTTCTAACCGACTAACATCGGATCAAAACTGTTTAAAAGTACTGAAAGTTTTAGCGGAAATGTAGCGTGGTCAAAACATAGTTAATTTATACATATCAAAACAAATGTCTTGAACAGCTCGTCAGCTCACTCCTCGTTCCCGACCCTGTGACCTGAAAACATGAAATAAGTGGGAAGTGAGCACTAACACACTGTGCCTCGTGGAAACTCATACTAAAGTAAAACAGTGAAAATAATAACAATATCATGATCCTGGTATATATATAACTGAACTGAAACTGATATCTGATACCGGTCTGAATAATCTGATACTGATCTCGTGACATAAGTCACGTCTGAACTGAACCTGAACATCTGCCGGCAAAGCCGGACACCATGTGCACACTCTAGTGGGCAGACTAGGGCCACTAGAACCCAGAATGGACCGACGACCATTCCGAGCGGATACTGAATATACATACCTCAAACATGGTAGCGATATTATAATCAATGTAGTACTTAGTCTGAGTCCCCACCTGAATAGCTGAAAATGCAGGTAGTGCTGATGCCTGATCAAACTGAAAAATAATATAAACAATTACTAAGGACTATGCTCAGACTGATACATTAATTGATTAATTATGCTAAGATGCTCTTACTCAATTTAACTTGATATCCGGACCTAATCGGTATAACTGGAACCGGTTAAATACGGAACTGAACTGATATTATTTTACTGGACT